TATGTTCACAAAACTTTACGACTTCACACTTTAAATAAATGTCACAATGCGCAACTGAAATGACGGGAAAAATCTTTTCTGGCTGCTGGTTAGTTATTTGTTTCAATAAGTCAACAATAATGTCAGGGAATAAAATCTTGTCTGGGTGTTGTATCGTTACTTGTTTGAATAAGTCAACATTAATGTTAGGGAATAAAATCCTCTCTTGGTGTTAAGTCGTTGAATTATGTGAATAAATTAGCAATAATGTAGGGAAATAAACCCACGAAAACTTGAATAACAGGAAAACAAAAATACTTAATGTTATGTTTGAAACAAACGTCACACCTCTGTATTAGCACACACACATACACACATCGTGTTTCTCAAAAAACAACCAATAAAAGAAAAAAAACTGACAATATTCATTTGTAAGTCTTAATAGTTTTCATTGAACTTGTATTTTAGCGGCTCGCGACAGTTTAGGGAGGCAGTGAGCAGAGGCACTGGTATCGAAAAGGTTAAGCAACGCTGTCACTTTTAACCCTCGGTTATTGTAGGTCAGATGAGAACTGTGAGTATCCACATAACATGATCAGTTTTGCCGATCGACACACTATATAAAAAGAGATATCTTCTTACAAAACTAATCAAAAATAATAAATGAAATTGTGTTTATGAAACACCTGTGACCTCACTTTGACCTTGATCTTTATTCTATGAACTTCAAAATTGAATTAGTCTTAGAACTTTGTATGTAGTGTCTGTTGTTTAAGTTTGCTCAAAATCCGTTCATTCAATCTTAAGATATTCTCTTCAAAAAATCGGGACGGACAGGAGGTAACCAGTATGCCCCGCTTTGCTTCACATTGGGGACATAATTAGAAGATTTTGTAACTGGGAAATATAATTTCTGAAACTGGAGTAAAAAACGCCTTACTCTCATTCATTGTTTTGCCTTACATATACTAACACTAAACATCTTATAACTGTATAATGAAATGCAGTATTCTATTTTACTCTAACTATAACCTTGCTTAAAGCAGTATGTGGCTACAGGAAACACAACTACGTCATTTCGTATTGCTTCAGCTTCCCAGTCTTTCTGAAATTTGGACAAACAAGTTAGCTGTTTTGGATAGCAGTTAGATAATGTTAGAAATTACATCTTTGAACAAGGTTGTATGTAACAAGGCTGGTGTGTTTGTAAGAACATGTTGAAAGTTACAAGCTTCATTCTTCAGTGCATTATATAACACATGCATTAAAAAACTGAAAGAATGCCTGATGCAAGAATAACGGCTTTTCTTAATTCAATAAAAGCTTAATGGATGTATGAGAGATTAAACTGTTGCGCTAACAGTGCTGTCTCACATCCTGGGGTTAGGGGCTAACGTGGCTGAGAAAGGTCTTCGAGTGTATGGTTTTTCACATATCCAACTTCTGAAAGGACCCTTGAGACAAATGAGCAGTCTTTTGGAGATCGGCATGTTCAGCGCCCATTAGACATGCCGCCGTCTAGCTAATCTTCTCACGAGATTCTGGCTTCAAATTATAGGGGAGGGTGTAGTATCTTGAGTGTTGTAGTTTATACTTCTAAGGTTTTTATGGTTGGTAGGAAAGTCGTTGAAACGTTTGTCGCCGTCCAATTTTCAGGATCAAACCCCATAAGCCGAGTAGAGAATTTGTAGAATTTGAGCATCGTATTGATAAATACTGTGTCATATATGTATATATATATATATATATATGGACGTGTGCGTATGATCGTGTGTGGGTACATGCATAAGTTAACGTAATTCAGGTACTAGAAGTACATAACGTAGTGATCCAAAGATGACATATGAACATCATTAACAAATTGCCAAGTGCAATCGGCTCTGCTTGGACTCATCACACATGTTCACTTATTCATACTACTCACCCCATTGATCTAGTGATACAGTTTCTTGTAATAGAGCTTTTGTTAAAATATAATCTATAGTACTGTAAAGATGTAAATTACAAACAATAATCTTCTGGCACTAGAATTTTGGTATATTACATATATGTTTAAAGAGTAGATTACTTATGTAGTAATGTTGTATTATTGATAGAACTAAACACTGATTTAACGGTGGTAACACGTAATGAGTATCTAGAAGGTTCGTGAAGGCTCGAGTGTTTGCCAAACGCCCTCTATTTTGTATATATAAGACCGGCAAGAAGTGACAGCATAGAATAGTTGCAGATAGAGAGATTGAAGGTATAGAGAGGACAATTGAGTCAAGCATGGTAGTGACCATAAGTAAAGTGCATGAATCGTTGTGAATTATAGCGTGTGTTTAAGTTAAAGGACTGTGGAAATTAAGTGTATTGCAAAGTTGTATTGAGAAAGAATAAACTAGTTTTATTTAAGAAAGGACTTGTATCGCTAAAGTTTCTTCGGAAAGAATTATTACGGAAAATTAACAAACGAACAGAGACGTAACAGATTGGTGTCAGAGAGTGGGACGAAAAAAAAAAAGACGAATATGGAAACGAGAGGTGGCAAATCAAACTACAGCTTAGCAGATTTGATAGCAGCAATACAAGAACAGCAAAAGAAACAAGACGAGAGATTACAGCAGTGGCAAGAAAACCTGCATCATGCTTTCAAGACATTGAAAGAAAAATTGGCCTCAGCTCCACTTTTAAAGCTTCCAGATCCCTCACTGTCATACATATTGGATTGTGATGCTAGTAATGTCGGAATTGGAGAAGTGTTGTCTCAGAAAGTGGGTGAAAACGAACATGTGGTGGCCCACTTCAGTAGGGTTTTGAGTAGACCAGAGAGGAATTACTGTGTAACACGGAGGGAACTCCTTGCTATAGTAAAGAGTCTGACATATTTCCATCCTTACCTCTATGGGGCTAGGTTTACCATCAGGACAGACCATGCTGCATTACGCTGGTTAGGATCATTAAAGAACCTAGAGGGACAACTGGCACGCTGGATTGGAAGGATAGACCAGTATAATTATGATATTGAATATAGAGAAGGAAAATTTCATGGAAATGCTTCAAATCTTGATCTTTCTCCTGCTCTGCTTTGATATATATATTTGGTGCCACTTCACCATCATCAACCCTTTCGGTCACTTTGACTTCAGCTTGATGGCACTTGGTTAGTTCAACCTCCCTTATAACACTTACCGGAATTTGACCTTTGTTGTTCCCAAACTTCATTTTATCAAAATTAATTACACACTTCCTCGGTAGTAAGTCTGCAGTCATTTTTGCCGGGTCTTTGGCTCAGTCCATCGGCCAATAACTGATTTTCTAAAAGCAAGTGTTTTACGCCCTGCTTGGGAGAAGGTGTCTAGCTTAAGCCCTGTGACAAAGCACTATTGGGCACAATGGGACCAGTTGAAGCTTGAAGATGGTATTCTTGTCCGGAGATGGGAAAATGCAAATGGGAAAGTGACGACCTGGCAAACGGTTATACCGAGAAAGTTACGGGAAGTTGTGCGGCATCAATCCCATGATAGTTTAACAGGAGGACATTTCGGAGTTAAGAAGACATTGAGTCACCTACGACAGAGATTTTACTGGATAGGTATGAGATAAGATGTGGAAGAAAGTGCAGAACATGCAGTACATGTTGTACTAAAAGGGGACTCAAGCATAAGGGACGTGCTCCAATGAAGTTATATCAAGTTGGCGCACCAATGGAAAGAGCAGCCATTGACATTGCTGGTCCTTTGCCTCAAACTCGTGGCGTTTCGTTTTGCCAGTGTACGTGACCTTACAGTCACTACGCAAAGATCAAGTTTCTAAACTTCTACGTTCATGGCTCGTGTATAAATATACTAGAGTCTGTGAACATTTAGGAGTATCTAACAGAACCAACCATCCACTACTTAAACCCAGACACTTATCCATTCGCCCACATTCTGAAACCACAGGTCACAATATTTCATTTAACGATTTCTCTATCATCACCACAGGATCTTCAGACCTTGACCTCTACATTAACGAACGTCTACTCATAGCTAAAGACCGCCCGACCCTTAACGACTCACAAAACTCTTTAGATCTAAAATTGTTCTAACTTTTTATACTTAATTCAACTGTTGTGTAATATTGTTGCGTCAGCGAGGTCACGTGACTAGTATCACGCCACCTCTTTCTAGAAATATCCTGTCCCTTCATGAATGCCCTAGCATTTACTAGATATGTGTTAGTCTTGTATATATAACGTGACGGGGCAATGAGTAATTGAACTGCAGACAGAGTGTGTGTAGTTGAACTGAGTATTGTTGAAGTCGAGCACGTGAGACGTTCGTTGAGAATTATAGCGTTTGTTATAGAGCGACTGTTGAAATTAAGTGTATCGCAAAGTTGTATTCAGAGAGAATAAACCAGTTTTCTTTAAGAAAGGACTTGTGTCGCTAAAGTTTCGTCGGAACGAAGTTACGGAAAATTAACTAACGAACGGAGACGTAACAATATATATATAAACATTGTTTCATCCGTCCATGCACCGTTTTTTATAAGTAACTAAACTAATGATTATGTTATATTATAATTTTAGTAATAATCATCATTGTAACACACTTTTCAGATTTCGCTGAAGATGGAATAACTTATTCCGAAACGTTCTAACCTTCATTATTAAACTTCGTTTTCCCCATCATGAATCCATTGTCGCCCCCCCCAATGGCACAGCTGTATGTCTGTGGACTTACAACGCTAGAATCCGGATTTCGATACCCGTGGTGGGCAGAGCAAACATACAAGCAAAATCCATTGTCACCGTGCTCTAACTAGAAGTTGAGTTAGCTCTTTAATATAACTAAAAATTAATAGTTGAGCTAAAAGATTGTAGGAATAGTAAATAAACGGTAAAAAAACCGTAACAAAATAAAAATAGAATTCACTATTTCATAATGTTATTTTTCATTTATTTTGTTGTTACTTCATGCAATGTTCAACAAATATCATTTAATTTTATATTTAGGAAAAAGGCGCTAGTGTCGCGTTTTGGGTAAACTGTTTTGAGTATTTACTAAAATCTAAGACATTGCAGGTAATCGTACAATGTTTTGTAAATCTGTGTGCAAGTGAGCATTTTGTTTTCATTCAGTATTTCAAAATATTCTGATTTGTGTATCACGACACAAACTTGAAAACTTTAAAGGTTAGCTAGCCTAGAAACTCAATACTATCTAACTTAAGAAATCGTAAGGTTATAAGTTCTGAAGTAGGCATATTTAATTATTGACATAATTTATAAATTTTAATTGTAAAGTACATACGCTGTATCCTGAGTGTATGGTACGGTATTGTAGTTTTTGAACTATTAGTATTATTACCAGTATTACACAAACAACAGTAGACTATTTGGTACGTTATCTTTTAAGATTAATGCTGTTTTTGCATAACCATCCTTGAGAAAAGTAAACATTTAAACTCGCCTTTTAGTTTTATACTTCGGAAAAATCATCGATTCCCCTCTTAAACTAAGTTAAAGTTTAACTTTTGATAAAGTCTTTTTCCAAATCTTAAACTTTTGTCCCGTCATACTAATGACAGAAGCCTTTATCTTATCGATCTTTTGGATAGCCTTGTAAAATGTAAGTTCTAAATTTCAGTAATTTGACGTTTTTAAGACTTCTTATAGTTACATCCTTTTCTCAAGAGAAAATATGAGAACTTTAACCATTCCTTCCTGGGAATTATACTAGTGGTACTAATAATTAATAGCACTCACCTGAACTCTTTACATTAATACATATATATACATAGAGAGAGAGAAAGTTTGTTTCTTTGACCTGAATTTGAAACCAGTATGTCTGTGAATGCACTATAAAAAAGCAGAATTTTATATTAGCTTCACTGATCTTACTCTTAGCAAGAGACCACTGCCTTGGGTGACTTATCTAAGACTTTTCCAGAATCCATTTCTTCAGTCACACTGTTGGGTGGGTTTCTATCTATATTAAAAATAAATGCGTGGTACAAATGCTGATAACCCTAATTCATTACCTTGCATTTATTACAATAATATGTCATTTACTAAACTATTTGGTCAGTATCTTCATTAGACTTAGAAATACTAAAGAGTTTAATGTTATCAACAAACTAGTACTGTTTCACTAATAATACCCCTGTCAGTATAATTAATGTAAATAAGAACAAGCAAAGAATGAAGCACTGAAACCTAAAACATGTCTTACATATAACATATGGTTTGATTGAACTCCATTTACAACTTTTTGCATTCTATCATCTAGCCACCCTTCCATTAACTCTTAACAATATAATTTTCTTAGCTTATCTCCTATGTAGCACCTTATGAAAAATGTAGTACCCTGGATAACAAGTAACATCGTAAAAAAAATTTAAACAGGTTAGCTAGGAAAGCTTTCCATTTACTAGTTCATCTGTGTTGGTTCTCTTTAATTACATCAGAGTTTATCAAGTAATTTTTAAAAATTTTTTTTCATCAAAATCTAGGATGTTTCCTATCCAGAAGTAAAACTAACTAGCCTCTAATCAGAGGTGTAGTAGGGTGGGAATGTATGGGCACAATGTACCTGGACTTACTGCCACTATTTTCAGACGAATTCCACCTTTCACAATTATGCAATAGATTTTGAATTTTGGCTCTTCTTTATTTAGCACTACACCACTGCCTATAATTACAAGTGTAACTCTCATTATGTTAGAATATCATTAAAAACTGTTCAATCTTCAGGCACCAGCCCACTGTTTATAGATTTACCAGAAATGAAAGGCTTACACATGTGATCTGTGACCTCTTTTATATCCGTACAACAACAAATGCTAGACTTGAGCCTTAAAGGCAATAGATTGTAAACTGTCAGATATCTGTATCTTTAAGTGACTTTTTAAATGAATTGTTATTGAAATCTAGGTGTTGAGCCTAATTTAGATCTGTAGATTGGTGTAATGGTATTTATATTGGAGTGATATAGAAGACTGAATGTAATGTTTGTAATGCATGAAGTCTAGAGCAGGACAATTAACTCAAATAATATAATGAACTGCCTGTGAGTATCATTTCCATGATTAGTTTCACATAAAACATAAATGATTACTTAAATTTATGGTTAAATCAATTAATGTCATGAAAACAATAAACTACTTGAAATTAGTGTTTCCTATTGTCATATAAAATAATTGAAATTATTATTGATTTTAGAAATGTCATGAAAATAATCAATTATTCAAAATTAGTGTTTCTATTATTATTGTTTTTCATTATTCTAACTACTCAAGTAATCAAAATATTGCCATTATTATTTTTGATAAATTCAAGGTTGTTCAGTTATTTCAATGACCCAAGAAAATAATCACCTAATCAAAATTGGTATTTTCAATTATTACTATCTTTGACTATTCCAAGTTTCATGTGAAAGTAATGGAATAATTTAACATAATTAATTAATGAGCCTGATGATTACTGATTATGAAATTTCAGTAATTGCCCAGCTCTACAACTTATCAGTATAACATCATTTTGCCTTTAGTTTTTTAATGCAATTCTTAAAATCTTTATTAAAAGGTATTTTGATTTCAGTGCTATAAACATTATTCCTTATACACATGTAAAAGGTTTGACAGTTGTTGTTTTTTCTACTTACTTACAGATTGTGTTGTTACTCACCAAAACGGTTTTGTGGTTAGACTTGGATTAATTTATGGCAGGAATTGAAAGACATTAAGACTTGTTTCATAAAAAAAAAAGGTGGGGAAATTTGAATTTTGTTTTTCTACCAACTATTCATAAAGAAAAAAGAAATGTTATTGTTCTGTCCAACATGTGCAAATATATTAGTAGTTGAGGAGGGTCCTCAGTGCTATAGGTTTGCCTGCAGTACCTGCCCTTATGTACACAATGTGAAACAACGTATCACTAACAGAAAATATCCTAAGTTAAAAGAAGTAGACGATGTATTAGGTGGAGCTGCTGCTTGGGAAAATGTGGACTCCACTGAAGAATCCTGTCCTAAGTGTAGCCATATCCGTGCTTTTTTCATGCAGATACAGACTCGTTCAGCTGATGAACCCATGACGACTTTTTATAAATGTTGTAATCCTCAATGTGGATATCAGTGGCGGGAATAACAGCTTCTAAACAAGCTAATGATTAGGTACTGCTTATAGTAAATCACATACTTGAGCTTATCCCAAAATGAATAAGAGTTGCAACTTTGCAATAAATACCTTGTTCTTTCCTTGGCTACCTTCTAACAGTTTTTTTATTGTAATCACCAGGATTTGGCTATTAGATTTATATGTTTCTGTGAAATGTTTTGTTTAAAAATATGTGGGTCATATATAAGATAAACTCCAATGAAAGTAAAAATATTAATTATAAATCACATATTTTTGTACATTGAAGAACATTTTGTTCCCAAATTACAATAATGCTTCCAAAACAGAATATAATTTGTTTGATTTTATTCTATCAGTTTAAATATTATTAAGTTTTATATGTGCAGATATGAAAAAGATAATGAACCTGAAGAGGAAGATATTTATGTTAAAAGTAATCCTTTTCTAACAGCTCCAAAGTCTTGAAGATGTATGTGGTATATTCAGGTGTACCGAATATTCATTCAATCTATTGGATAGGTCTGCTAAATAACAGGAGATTCATTAAAGGTATAGATTATGGAATATTACTAAAACTCTTACTTAACTGAATCAGTGTTAAACAGAATAATGAGGCTAGATACAAATATAGAACAAAATGCACAATCTAACACAGACTCGGTGTGTGTACTTGCAGTTTTCATGCCAGACAATCACTTCCAGTGGCTCTTTTATATCCAACTGTTTAAATATATACCATAATCTTTTAAGTCAAGATGAAGTTCTATACTGACTAAATGTAATGTTTCTTATTTGCCAAGAAACATCATATTTACCCAGAGCAATCTTATTACAACATTCTCATTCAAGAATATGGAAGGATATAACCTCTAGATATCACCTGAACAACCACTGAAGGATACTGCTGTCAACATCCTTACACAACATCATATCAAGCAGTGTTCTCCTTAAGCAGTAACAAGTATTTCCTTTTTTGAGATCAACAAAAGAACAGTATCTTAAAATGAAATCAACTTGATGATTTTCTTAACCACGTTATATGAAACATGCACATATTCAGAAGAAAGAATAAATATTATCATATCACAATAAGATAGAATATCGTGCTATATACAAATACATGTTTAAAAGGTTTTGAGAAGAAAGCAACTATTTTATTATATATATTTCAGCAAAATGTCTGCATTTTCTTGTTTTGTGTTCTTTATATATATAATCAAAAGAGCTGATACAAGTGTTAAAATACTTTATTTCAATATTTTTTTTTTCCTAGTTAAGTACAATGGTAAAGGACCTGAAATATTCAATTAAATTAGTATGTGTAAGTCCTGTATATAGTGTATGAAATCTAATTTACTTGCAACTCAGTAAATGTGTGGGAAAAGATGGATTTAAGTTATTGAAAACTTGTTAACAAGACAGTACTTTGGATGTTCTGAAGATTTTACTGAAAATGTATTACAGAACTTAAATGAAGAGGTAATAGTTTATATATATGTATGTGTGTGTTATACAGTTTGTTACACACTGTAGTCAAGATTAAGTTTAATGAAGTTACTAAATTTCCTACATTTTTTTCTTCTCACCAATGTATTATCAAACCTCTACATTTATATTTGACACTTCCATATAGTTTGATAATATCATATCAATTTGATTGTTATGTGTTTAATATCCTATAACAACAGTAAGAATTTTGTAAAAAAAAATTTTAAGCTATGCATTGAAATTTCTCCAGACAATAATATACAGGATATGGAAATATATTATCAAGGCTAGCAAGCCCTACAAGTTCTAAGACTCACTGTGTGTCATTTCAGGTATTGATTAAAAAGTGTAATGTTTGTGTGTAGTCAGATATTTCATAACTTGGGCCAGGTTTAAAATATTTTTGTTTGCTGTAACCCTAAGCTGATTTAAAATGTGGGTAGGTGGGTAAATATATATATATATTGTTTTTTTAAATGCTTGACAAAATTCAAAAATATAACTAATTCTGTGATAACCTAAAACATAACACATTTAACCATGCATACAGTTATTATCAACATTTATTCTATGAAGAGGATTACAGAAATTTCAAACCAAAAAGAATTAATTTTCAAAAACTTAACATAAACACAGGAAAATAATCAAATTTTGGGCAGTAGGCCACCACAAACTGTTTAACTGAGTTCAGGGGGCATCAATGATTGGTCATATCCACAGTTCCATGAAGAGTTCCACACTCAAAATTTCTCAGGACACACATTTCCAAGTTATTTTTTCCTTCTTTTGGGGACTTGATTGCTTTTGCATCCATCAGAATTGCATGTAGGCAGCACCACTTTGAATCTTGGGACATGTTCTGCACTTTTTGCAGCATCCTTTTATCACAGTGGTAATGCAAATCGGGAATGGATAGAGATGATGCATAAAATGGAAACTCCGCGTGTGATCCTCAATCTAGATGTAATCTGAATGAAAACAGTTCCATGAAGGTCATCACCAGTAGGGTGAAAGGTCAGACTAGTTTCAGAAAACCAGCTCCTCACCAAACTGGAAGTCCTGGGTGTCCTCATTTTTATCAAAACTTCTTACTTCTGCAACAGTTCAAATGCAGTCCAGAAGATTCAGCACATTAGAATTAATTAACAACTGGCTACTTGATGAGCAAGATAACCAAAATGTTCAAGAACTTTATCTCAAATAGCAAAGGTCAAAAAGTGAACTAAGAGTATAGATTATGAGATTACAGGTTCTACTTCATTTTGCAAGAGAAATACCATTGCTCCAATTCCACTATCACCGGCATTTGTATCTAGCAGGAATTCAAAACCGTATCTCAGATGTACCAACACTGGGGCTTCTGCTAAAGCTTACTTCATAGACTGGAATGCTTTCTTGCATTCCTCACTCCATCTGAAGTGTGTCTCCACCTTAGTAAAGAGCCAATAATGGGGATTTGATCTTGGAAAAATTGACTGCAAAATGTTTGTAATATGATGTAAAACCAAAAAAACTGCATTAATGCTATCAACATTTATTTCCACTTACCATGCCAATAATCATCAGAGCATGCAACTGGATAGTCAATCCTCTATAATTGCAGAACAACATTGGTACTTCCTCTTCCTCAGTCAGATAACTCCATAAGCTAATGCTGCTTACTTTTCTACAGGAAACAACTAATTTCATGTGTGGTCTCTATAATCATGTTATACATCCTTAAGAGACATTGTCTTTATCTATAGTATACCACAGGACACCACTTGCTCACATGGGAGTACTGTGGTTTCTTCATACACTTGTGCAATCCATTGTTTCTATGGTTTATGTAGCTCATATTGGATAACTATACCACTGAACATCAGTTGTACAGGTGATACTAACCAATAAGCTCTGCAGTACATCCATTCTAAGGATGTCTATAAGAAGCAAGGTCTGCAACAACTACTTTTGTTCTGTAAGCAAATCCTCCTAGACATAGTTGGAGTGTGGCTTCTCCATTCACATCTAGTTTACATCCATTTTTCAGAAAAAAAAGTTTGCATCAATCTGGCTGAGTGATGGTTTTGTTCAAAATACCAGATATATTGTGTACTGGCCATTCCAGTATCAACCAGGAACTCTATGACAGGCATGCACCCAGACCTACCCAACTCTGAAAAGCTGGGCTGACCACAACACTTCTTGGTACAAGGTGTTTGTTGCATTGCCCCAAGTCAGTGGCAAGATCTGACTGAGACATCTCTAGTTACGTGGAGCTAAGTAGCAGTATTCACTTCTTACTGTTGGTTCTCCTTAACTTGTTACACCATCAGTCAAAACCAAGAATCTTCTTTACCTTGCTGCTCCACAAGGTAGGGGCAGTTTCTCAAAAGTGACACAATGCTCCATATACAGAGGCATTGGTGGCAAGTGTTGCAGCATATATAGTATGAGAAGAACAGGATAGGCATGGCTGTTCGCTGTATACCAGTGTGGCTGCATTGCAGTGCCAAAATGTGGGAATGGATAGTTAATCCTAGACTGAATTTGAACCTGGCACAACATGAGAGCCTGGGTAGGATGGTTTGTCAGAGGTGAAGTCATTGAAGCTGCTGCTAAAGGCTTCTTGCTCTCCTGCAACCAACCCTAAGTTACTTATTATTATATCATGAAAAAACTGCTTCGGTAAGGGTGAGAAGGTCTCTCACACCCAGATGATGCTGCAAAGGTAAGAAGATCTGTCTTACACCTAGGTGATGTTGCACCATCTTACTGGTAGCTCTTCCACAAACTTGTTTACAAGGATATCTTAGCAATATGCTGAGGCCATTGCAGAATAAACTTTACCATGCAAGCTGCCAGTGGCACTCGTTTCTAAGCCTTGAATTCAGCCCAATAAATTGCTTTGTTTTTCACCAGGTCTAAATTCTGGCACAACATAGTTATGAATATTTGCACAGTCCCATTGTTGCTATTCATCCGACTGCTTGACGGAGTCTAGGGTCAGAACAGTATGTTCCATAATCCAAACATTCCAGGCAGTTACCTCCCTGAAACATTTTAGAAAATGGTCCAAATGTTCCTTTGCTGTGCATTTGAATGTCAGTGGAGTGATCTGCTTCATTTTGCTCACAAGGACCCATGATCATGGCCAGAAATTCTCCTTTCCAACTTTTCGATCATCTCCTGACCAAGATATCCTCAATATTGCTGGCAGAGCATAGAAGAAACTTTCAAAGACCTAGATGATCTAGTTAGCAATAACTCCTGATCCAGAATAGCAGAACAATGAGGTGCTCTAGGTAGCTAGCTCATCCATTTGCTTTGTTTGATCCCATGCTCCTCCAAGAATCATGTTCATTTTGTCAGTATACCTTCCAGTTTAGAGAGGTTACCACTACCCATGACCCACTGTTTTCATAGTTTGGCACATGTTATATCCCCTACTGGTGAGAAGGTTCTGGTTGGCATTGTCCATTAATGGTGCGTTCAATCTCACTCTGTAATTCTTGGGTGGCTTTGATCACAGCTAGAGTTGAATCACTCTGGC